CCTACTGTAGACCTGCTCACCTCCCACAGTGACGATAGTGTTTCCCTGAAGGTCCCTCACTCTGTAGCTCCCCTGATCAGACGCCCTCAGGTCCTTACAGACACATACAAGCGAAAAATAAAACCGGTCGCTTCCATACGAAAGACCTCCATCTTAATCTAAATCGTTCATCAGTGCAAATAAAAGCCGCTATAATTGGATTCGCGTTCAGATCACACTCAAACACGCAACTACTGCTCTCGTTTGTTCAAGGACTAATTGCACTTGAGTAGCAGAGAGTAGTTTTGTACCCTCATCCGGTGTATTTTAGCATAAATGCCCTTTTTAAAAGTAAAAACAGGAATATCCTGTTATACATAAGCACGACACAAAGTAATAATTCTATATTAACGTGACCAACATTAATTTACGGTTTAAATTCATTGAAATGTCGCGATTCAGAGCGTCCTGTAGTTCGTGCTAATTAATACTGAGCCCTTTGTGTATTGAGCACAAGTTCAGCTGGTCTCCAACTTGACTCCGCACGGTTTTTCGTAGCATTGAGCTCAGAGCTGTAGCTCTTCTCCAGACAGCAGCGTGCTCTCCGAGAGCTCGTTAGAACTGACCCACAGCGGTCAGTATGAAGTTTGTGCTGAACACTGTACATCACCCACACGCGGTACCTCTGCTTCCGAGCCCAGTCAGCTCTGCTGTGTTCACGACAGGACCTCCGCTCTCTCTCTCCTGTGATCTGATCCGACAAATGACGTTTCCCTCCGGTCTGGACCACAGACCTCTCTCACACCACCTGAGTGAGATCGCATCCTGGCCAATCAGGAGACTTCATCAATTAAGCAATTAAGAGTCCAGAAACTTTATTGAAAACTGAAGAATGTTGAATTGTTTCTGAAGAATACATCTGAAAATAGTCATAAGTTTGCTTGAAAAGGCACTTTACCGCTGTAAATAAGCAGCAAACAGTACATAAAACGTGCATTCAGCTTAAAAAAATAACATTTCCTAAAAACGACATTTAATCTTTTTAAAACAACCCAGGGCAGGGCTGACCGTGAGATCTGCTATCTTAGAGAATTGGAGAGTAAGCTTATTAATTAAGTTCATAGATGTTAAGATGGGTCTGTACCTGATCGAAATATTTGTCCAACGCAATAAGTACATTGATTGTAGGGCATTTCAAAATGATAAATCTCAGTTCTGTACATGATATATCTCATGAAACAAGTCATTATATGAAAGATGGTATAATTTCACGTCATTTCAAGTATATAAATCCGTTCTGTACGTGACAGAAATATTTGTCTAATGAAATAATTGCTGATGCAATTTTAATGTCATTTGAAATACATAAATCTCAGGTCTGTACATGATGTAAAAAGTCATTATATGAA